ACTTGCTGTAAAACAGACAAGATTGCTAAATATAAACCAATATTATGCATGCAGTGATAGCACAATAGGCACAAAGCTCCATTTTATCTAGAACTGCCTATAAGCATTACACATCGAAGATCCGGCCACCTAATGCCCATCATCAACCGTTTGAAATACATAGAAACACATACTTGTATTGCACCAGCTTTATCTCAGTGGAGCAGTGATCAGCTGGGAAAATCCAGTCCAACTGATACACCCTCCACCAAGGGGGCCCAAGGAATCTGTGAGCACCAGAATGTGTAGTTCAACTCAACTACCTTCCTCCAACATTTAGATTGGTATTTGTACCATATTATCATATGAGTCGAGGTATAAATTCATTACCATCCGTAATACATATTAAAAATTAGCCAATGGAATGGTAAAATCTACAGTATATAGTTTCCAGCCTGCACCAATGCATATACAACATTCTACATAATTTCTTGCAGTATACATCCACGCTTGATCATTTGTCATAATCCAAAATAAATAAATAGGGGTGCACTTAAAAAGGAAAAAACTCATAACTACTGGTCCTTTGAAACTGCGGGTACATTCATCTGGTGCAAATGCTGACAAAATCAAGTGTTACTAAGCTGTTCTATCTCCAGGTTGAATGTATCATGGCCATTAGATGAAGCTAAGGCTCAATAGGAAATTAATACTGTGATGGGTGCGGCGTCAGACCCCAGTCCTTCTCACTAACTTGCCGAAGGACTAGCCAATCTAAAACCGCGCTGCCACTTGCATAACAATACCACTCTCAGCTGCACCCTGCACAAAGATTTTCCAGCTCACTGGACCCTAATCTAGGTGCCAACAGCCTGAGAGCGATTGTTACTGGGTCAGGTTAATTACACAATTAACCCTTCACACTGCCACCACCACCTTTTTACAGAGAAGGAGGAAACTCACAAATCTTAGCAGTAACATGATGTTGTTTGAATAAGCGTCTGTATACACACTGTCACTGCAGACAGATGTATCCAGAGCAGGGGCGGACTGACCATTTGGAAACTCGGGCATTGCCCGAGGGCCTGGGGTCAGTAGGGGGCCCCATGAGATGCCCCTGCTACCTTTTTCATAGGCTTTTTTGAGTTTGGGCAAGGGCACAGGGGCTCCATGATCCCCTATTGCCCGGGGGCCCCATGAGTTGTCAGTCCGCCTCTGATCCAGAGGTTTTAAAACACACAGTAGCACTCTTCAGAGACAGGGATTTTTAGCTTGCATTAAAAGAGCTTTAGAAACAATTCAACACTTTTCAGAAAATAGGATTTATTACTAAAAAGGTCAAAATGGTGCAATAAAAATATTTACAGAAAAGATGTAACTATATATATATAAACAGAGAGAGAGATAACACAACAGAGAGATAAAGAAAGAAGTTTAAGAAGGTAGAATACTTGCAGAAGTCCTGGTTTAAGCAGCGTTCAAGTGTCCTGAACAAAAGGGTGCCTTTTCTCCCAAAGTTGGTTCCTGATGTTAAAAGGAAGAAACTCTTCATCCCTCTCTCTCCAGGCATGACAGCTTTTCTAGTGTCCCAGCAGGGAGTGTCTACTGAAGCCAAATGCCAATCGCCTCATTTGGGGAGGGGGGTTAGGCGGAGACCCAGGCTGTGACCCAAAACCCTCACCAGTTTATACCATGGTCAATAACCTTCCATAGGTGCATGCAGCAACCTAGCCACTGGCAGGTTAATATGCAAAATGATATTCTGAACGTCCAGACACCAAATATGACATATCCGGTTGTGACGGATAACAAGATATCGCTTTCTACTTTCTGGTAGATGTTATCTAGGGGTGTAAGATATCAGGTGACTCATATTAAACTGACCTATCTGAATATATGCTTTGTTTTATTGTACCTTGTTCCTGCCAGGATTTATGAAATTGTATGAAAAAGTGGTTTCAAGTGGGATGTCTGTTTTACTGCCACTCTGGAATGCTTTCATGTCCAGTGACTGACTGGTTTATAGCTTTACGACCAGGCCAAGGCAAGAGCCTGACAGACATCCTGGAACCAGCTAATTGGGTTTTTAACCATGAAGCGTATCCAGAAGGAGGAGAGAATGATTTGGAGTGAGAATGACATTTGCAGAGTATGATCCAAATTATGGTTGTAATTGTCCATATCTGTGCGCACAATTATCACAAATACATATTTACAAAGCATATTAGCTCCATCTAGTGGCCATAATGCGGTACTTTCTCGATTTACACTTTTTTGATGAATGCAAAACATTTGACCTGGAGAGAAAAAATCCTAGCAAACTTTGATTTTGCTAGCATTCACACAGAATGAATGTATATGCAGTTTGGCAGGAGAAATAGCACTGTGATGTTTTCCATAGGGCACCCCAGAATATTTCATGTTGCCCCACAAAGTCTAAAGGGAGCAATAAAGAAATAAATAAATACCATGTCCATAGATCACATAGCGGTTTATGCCAAATAAAACAATTTACAGAGCCCGAAGGTGCACTTCTGTTGATGTTAAAATGTAGTGTACACATCTGAAAATGTCCTCCCTGGGACACACATTCTAAAGTGTCCTGTCCATGACAAACATCCTGCATGCCGATGATCATGCTATTAAGAACCCCCAGCCAGGGCCGTGGATAAGGGGGTACCACCAGTCCTCCTGTATGGTGCCCAGGCAGCTGGGTGAATCAGGTGTGGGCAGGGAGGCTGATTGGCACAGCGGGGGGAGGGGCAATTACTGTAACTGATCCCCTGTATGGCTGTCTCTGCAGCACCTGAAAGCTGGCTTCTTCTCCTTTCCCTCCCGCTGGCTTTCATCTGCTACAGAGAGTGAACATGTGCGGTTTGTTTCGTATCAAATTTTGGACAAATTTTTTCGTTAATCGGAGATTCAGATGTATTAGATTTCTGAATTACAACAATAACGAATTTAAACTAATCCAAAATAATGAAACAAAATACGGCCAAAATTCAATTTGAAAACAAAATCGAAATCAAATTTGAAGTTAAAAACAAAATCGAACAAACATTCGAAAACAAATTTAAAGCTGAGCTCCACCCAAAAGGGGAAGTTCTGCTTTAAGGACTGGTCCCCTGCTCCCCGTTAAGAATTGGCACCTTTGGGGTGCAGGAGGGCAGTACCCGAAATTGACAGGTACACGCTCCCACTTCTGCTGCGATCACCTAAGGCGATTGGAAGCGGACGTTGTCCTCCCTCCCTCCCCCTGCAGTCTTCTGGGACACGTGACAGGTCCCAGAAGACTACTGGTCCATTTGAAAAGCGCAGTGGGCACCCAGCTGTGAAGCCACAAGCTGTCACAGCTGGGTGCCCACACTAAAGATGCCAGCATCAGGAACACAGGATGGCTGGTGAAAAGGGCTGCGGGAAGGACACCACGAGATCGAGGGACAGGTGTGTGTCCAGGAGAGTCAGCAGCTACAATTTTTCTTCCTGCCCCTTTTAATTTTTCCATCACTGCTGTCAAAACTGAACACTGATTTGACCCCACTACTGATTAGAAAATCAAACAAATATTCTTGAAATGATTGCTGAAAATCTACACATGTATGGCCAGCCTTATTCAAATTTTAAACAATATCAACCTATTTTGAAAAGATTTCAATCGAATTCAAAATTCTAATTTTTTCCCCCTGATTTTAAGCTTAGATTTTCGGTCAAGTATATTCGTAAGAAAAGTCATACGAAAATTGTTTGCATATTCGATGAATGGACAACTGTCGTTCATAAACTGTCTTTTGCTTTGAACATTCGATTTTAAAATAAATGTCATTTCTGAATGAGAACCACATACACTGGCCGAAAATTCTTTGATGGAGAAAAGTTTTCCTTCCTGTCCCTTAGAATTTTTCCGTCACTGCTGCAATTTGACCCCACTAATGGTTATATAATCAAATGAATATTTTTTAAACTAATATTTTTGGATGAAAATCTACATTTGTATGGCCAGCTTAACTTTTTGGATTTGTTTGAATTTTTTGAAATTGGTTGAATCTTTTTGATTTCGAATGACTTTTTAAATTTTATTGAATCAATTTCGAATTCAGTTGAACCAATTTCGAATGTGAATGATTTTTTGAAATTGGTTGAAATGTTTTTGAATTGAATTCGAATACGAATTACTGAAACAAATCCCAAAAACGAATTGAATTCATTTACCAAATCCAACTACACGAAATTTGTTAGATTTCGAATCAAAACAAAGTAAAACAAATTTTTTCATTTTGCACATGTCTAACAGAGAGAGCCATACAGGGGATCAGTTCCAGCCATTTCCCCCCTGCCGCACCCATCACCCTCTCTGTGCACCATACGTTTCCCTCTGCTGCCCAGGTTCCCCTGTAGTGCTGCCGGGTCCCCCCCTCTCCTTTCCACCAACAACTGCAGTCACCCAATAGGATTCTTCAGGATGGAGACTGAGGGAAGGGTCCAGAAAATAGGTCACATTTACCAACTCCTTCCTTTCCTGAATGAATGCAATGAGTGATCGGTACCAATCACTCATTGTGTTCATTCATAACTGAAGCCTAGTAGACTGTGTTTTTTTTTTTTTTGAGGGGGCCCTGTCAGGTTGGCTGTATGGGGCCCTGTGGTTTCTAACAGCAGTCCTGCTCCCAGCTCCTACTACTAGGGCCTGCAGCCAGACCAAGACTATAGCGGGTATTAAAGTGTTACTAAATCCACAACAGTAAAATCAGTCTGTATATGCAGTAAAGCATGCTTGTTATACTCACTGTGGAACCTAAGGGGTTAATGCTCTGCATTGTGTAAAAAGGCTGTTTGATCCTTTCTACCCTGCCCCTCCTCTTGTTGAAATGACCACCCGATACAGACTGAACCCATAGTCACATGCACATGCTTAGTTTGGTGTGTATTGCTAGAGAGGTTTTTTTTTCTTGGGAGAGTGCATGTGATCAGCACAGGGCCAATCAGCACTGTCCAGATAAAGGGCAGGGGTTTCACATCCTCCTAGAGCAGAAAGAAACTCCTCCTACAAGCTTTGACCAGTGCTCTGCTGCACACTGATAGAAGTCACAAGACTGCTCTAACTGCTGACGAGAAAAGGTATTTAGCAGTTTATATTTACTAAAATAATTGCATTTCCATGCTGTGTGTACTGTGGGAGACCAGATATAGTGAATGCAGGGTCCTGGGTTTAGTATCATTTTAAGTAAACAGAACAGAATCAGCTGAAGTTGTTGATGTGCCTGTAGAATGGGTGAATTATAAAACAGAGCATCTGTACATACAATGATGTTAAAGGAGAATTACACTGCTTCTGAGCACCACAAACCAAAAACATTACTTAACCCCTTCACGCCTAAGGGTAAAACAAATCTTAACACCTAAGCACAATTTTGCAACTTTGACATGTGTTCGTAAAACCGTACATATTTTTATTATCAAAGGAAAACTGGCCTAAAATAGTAAAAAAAAATTTTTTTTTGTTAAATTTAGCTGTGTGTTTCTTGTTACTACCATAACCTACCACCAAAGAAAAACCCAAAATACATTTTCCAGCTCTTGACGATCGCAGCGATACCATATATGTATATGTTATTTGTTGTTTGTATCTGTACTACAGCCCAGAAACAATAGTGCGCATTTTGTTTTGTTTTTTTACCTATAACACACTGACACTGACACTAACTGACACTGATACCAATTTAAAAAAAAAAATCCTGACCTTTTGCCCTGATCTTTGAACCTGATTTTGACCCAAACAATAACCCTGGCACTGAACTAGATTAAACCTTGATCTAGGTATTTTTTTTTTATTTTTTAATATATAATTTATTTTTATTTTTTTATAAACAGTTGTTTTTTTCTCTCTCTGCAAGGAGAGAGAGAGATACAATGTATCTCTCTCTCCTCCATTCAGAGAGAAAAAAAAAAAACAAGGGAGGCGGGCTTCACAGTGACTAAACACTGTGATAGCCAATCAGAGGCTATCACAGTGATCATGTGACTCGGAATCAGAAGTCCTGGGTCCTGATAGTTAGAACGGGTCTTCATGACACCCTGGTCTTTGTGCTGGAAGCGCGCTGTGCGGCAATGCTCCCAGCACAAAGACAGGTATGCAAATATGCAGCCCCCTGGAAAAAATCCCAGTTCTGTGAGGCCACATATTTGGTTATGTGGGCGTGAAGGGGTTAATTCCTTTTTAATATTCAAAGCAAATTTCTCATCCATCCACCCCCATGTCTCCATGTTTTATTTGATAAATCACTTTGAAAAACACCTCCTTGCATTTCTGGCCACAACCATCTTGAGTACATGATTCATTTTGCATTCAGATGATTCATTTAGCATTTACTTCCCTGAAATCACCTGCCTTTAGCTCAGGCATGCAGGCAGGAGGGTGTGTTTAGCTGAGAAACCCCTCCTGAAGACTCCTGGGATGTATGACATAATTTCCCTAGGCCTGGAAACTAGGAAGTAACTGAAGATATGTAAAAAAACAAAAAAAGTTTAAAACAAGTAAATAGGATTTACTTTCCTATCTATTTACTAATAGTAGCAGCATCAGAATTAAAAATAGTTCATGTTGATTAACAGTGTGACGTTCTGCTTTAAAGTGTACAGTACAACATGGATATGTGATGTATTATTTATTCTGTGGTCCCAATGACCAGGCCCAGGCAGGCAACTTGAATACCCTGACGTTTATAAGAAAAGCTGATGGGATCAGATAAGTAGACAAACGTTTATATATATATATATGTATAAAAAACAACAATTAATGTGTATTACCTGACAGAAGACTAAAAGGCAAAGCTATGTATCTGAGCTGGCTCTATATTGTATAAACAGGTTACATCTTATACAGAACAGCTACAAAAAGTTAGCAGTTATTTATAGTTTAGTTCTCCTTTTTAGACAATAGATCAGGAATGCCAACCACCCATTAGTTTCTGTTTGCCTTTAAAAATTGTGCATGCACAGTTATAGTGTATTTAATCCGATGCACAAAAATGAAATATATTGCCACTTACCAGTTCTTAGATGTGGTGGCTGCTTTAGTTTTACTTTTTTTCCAGGCTACGTATATATTGTCTGCAATTACAGAAGAATATCTTTTGTCAGAAATGCAGGGTCCTTGTAAATTCTTGTGTACTGAACTGGAATATCAGACAATCTTATCAGATTTTCAGCTATTTTCTATAAACTAGAGAAAACCTCCCAACTCACATGGGCCATAGAGTATTAGGAGCCGTTTGTTCACTTTTGTGTTCTAGCACTGAGCTGAAGGCAGGCCCCCAGTTTAACTGCCTCCATACCGGGCACTTTTACCCCCTTCCTACAAATGCCAATTTTCAGGTTTCAGCGCTCTCACACTTTGAATGACAATTGCACGGTCATACAACATTGTACCCAAACTAAAATTTAACATTTTCTTCACACAACTAGAGCTTTCTTTTGATGGTATTTAATCATCGCTGGGGTTTTTATTTTTTGCTAAATTAACAAAAAAAGACCGAAAATTTTGAAAAAAAAAAACAAGTTTTTCTTTGTTTCTGTTATAAAAGTTTGCAAATAAATAATTGTTCTTCATAAATTTAGGCCAAAATGTATTCTAATACATGTCTTTGGTGAAAATAACCCAAATTAGGATGTATTTTTTAGTTTGTAGGAAAGTTATAGAGTTCACAAACTATGGTATAGATCTGAATATTCATCAATCCTGAAGTTCTGACAGCCAATCTAATTTCTTGAGGTCTAAGAATGTCAGAACAGTACAGATATCCCCCAAATGACCCCTTTTTGCAAAGTAGACAGTCCGATGTACTTCATAATAGGCATGGTGAGTTTTTTGAAGTTGTAATTTTTTGTCATAATTTATCGGAAATGAAGAAATAAAAAAAAAGGATTTTCACAATTTTTTTTTTTTTACATACTGTCACCAGTACAGTACAGCATCATCATATAACTGGCATGGCGGTGATCAGGGACACTGACTGGTGACAGTATGAAAAAAAAAAAATTGATAATTTTTTTTTATTTTTTATTTTTTTCTCTTTTAAAATGTATTTTTCATATTTCACTATGACCAATGTAGTATAATGTTACCATGGTAACATTGTACTACTTTGGGGAAGTGATCTATATATATATATTTTTTTTTTTTTACACAATTTGCTTATAGCAAAGAATTACTTTGTTATAAGCAAGCATTTACCTGAATGACATCGATTCATTCAGGATTTTTTTTTTTTCTTAACTGTGATTTGGCCACAGCTAATCACATGACACATCTGGGCTGTGATTGGCCCAGCTTGTGCATGTGATCGCTGTGACCATTCACAGCTAGACACACTTGTATACAATGGATGGCATGATAGGAAGCCATCCATTGTATACAACTGTCATGTGACCTGCTGTGATTGGTCACAGCAGGTCACATGGTACTGGCAACGGGGTTGGTACACAGATCTGTCATCGGCCATGTCTAAGGTACACGGCCGGTGACAGATCGCGCCGCTGTGCAGCTCTGCTGGCATGCAAACTGTGCATGCCTGAAAGGACACCATAAGACGTCCACCCGGAGGGACGAGGGTTTTTGCCAGCCGCCATTCGGCCATAGGCCGGGCGGGAACCAGATAAGTAAATGGACAGGCATTGGGTGTACGAACTCACCCACACAGCCAAGTTTCACAGGTATGCAGGGGCAGGTGCACAGAGCTTGACATAGAATCTGTTCTGCGTACCTGTCAAATGGGGAATTTTGAAGAGACAAGTTGAGCATCACTCTCCATCCAGCATCCAGAATCTAAAACAGGTCGTTCTTGAAGCATGGAAAAAGATAGATATGCAATATGTCTCCAACTTGTTCATTCCATGCCTAGAAGACTTCTTGCTGTCCTTACAAATCATCAAGGTCATACAAAATACTAAATGTAGTAGTTTTTGTTGTGGTGTGTATTCATTTTTGCATTTGAGTAGAACAGAAGATTTTGTAAACTAAGTTATATTATTAACCCTACGTTCATGTAATGAGCTAAGCAAATGTTCTATAAAACTCAGTTTTTTCAAAATTTTGGAGATTGTTCTTGTGTTCATTGAGATATTGATTAAAATCTTACTTTTCAAAAGGGGGGGTAGTGCAGATGAATGAACAGAATGATACAAAAGTAACAATATGTTACATTGTATCTTTCTGTAGCCTCTGAGCAAGTGTTCTTGATAAACACTGTCAGTCTGCTTTTTTTGACAGTTGAAGCTGCTGACCTTCTCTGTAATGCCAGCTTTCATTAATGAAGGCCAACATAGTTGTTTACTGGGGGAGGGGGGGGGGTCCTGGCACACAGGAAGAGAGACTAAATGTGCTACATATGTCCTATGTGTAGCATGTCCAGTTAAAGTCAGCAACAAATTAAATAAAAAAATATACACACTCTACATACTGGCCACTTTATTAGGTACACCTTGCTTGTACCGGGTTCGACTCTCTTTTGCCTTCAGCACTGCCCTAAATCTTCATGGCATAGATTCAACAAGGTGTTGGAAACATTCCTCAGAGATTTTGGTCCCTACTGACATGAGTTACTGTTGCCCTTCTATCATCTTGAACCCATCTGCCCGTTCTCCTCTGACATCAACATGTCATTTTCATCCAACTGCCGTTCACTGGATATCTTCTCTTTTTCAGACCATTTTCTGTAAACTCTCGAAATGGTTGTGCGTAAAAGTCCCAGAAGATCAGCAGTTTTTGAAATATTCAAACCAGCCCATCTGGCACCAATAACCATTCCATGTTCAAAGTCACTTAAATGCCCTTTCTTCTCTGTTCTGATGCTGAGTTTGAACTTCAGCATGTCATCTTCACCATGTTTAGATAACTAAGTGCATTGAGTTGCTGCCATGTGATTGGCTGATTAGCAATTTGTGTTACCAATCAAGTGAATTTGATTGGTGTCAGCTGTGGGAGAGGATCAGCAACATGTCTAATGTCTCCTAATGGCTCACAGATCCATGATGAATAACTAATGCATTGAAGTGACAGAAACAATCTTAGACAAGTCTGTTAGGCTGATTCAGAAGAGCGATTCTACACCTAGAGACAAATTCCAGAGGCGGGGTCACTAAAGAGCTGCCTGTCTGTCCCAATGGACATGTTCTCTCTGTAGCCAAATTCAGTGAGATGTCAATCTATCACAGGCCCGATGCTGCTTATGGCAAGGGCATTCGTGGGGCAGTTGGTGATGAAATATTCATGGAGTCAGTCCTCCGCACTGTAATATAAAGGGGCACTGTGATATAAAGGGGGACTGCACTGTAAAGGGGCACTGTATTGATTACAGTACCCCTTTACAGTGCAGTTTCCCTTACATCACAGTGCCTGTAGAGATCTAATCACAGTGACCCCTATATATTCAAAGAGATGGCTCAATCCAGCAAAGAGAAATCCCTCTATAGCAAAGAGACGGGGGATGTCTCTTTGCTGGACGGGGATGTCCCTTCTTGGACTTAGCTGTCTCTTTGCTGGACCCAATGTCTCTTTGCTGGACCCAACTGTGCCTGTCACAGTGTGACGGCGGCTGCAGGTGATGAAGAGAAGCCGCCATTCTCCTGTCAGTGCAGCAGCTGGCCTAGGAGGTGTCCGTGTGTCAGCAGCACTTCCTGCTTGTCTTCAGGAGCCATCACTGCAACTTCTCCTGTCAGCCCTGCTTTGGGCATAGCCACACAGAAGGAAGTGAGTGGCGCCCGGAGTCTGTATTAGCCCCATCCAGACCGCGGTCACCGCTTATCTCCCACAGTGTGGCCCAGTCATCTTAAGCCCAGCGGCCCCAGCCCACTGGGCAAATGCCCGGTGGTGTGCCCTATGGCCAGTCCGGGCCTGGGTACGTCGATGTGCCTGCTCATGCCACTGGTCAGCAGTAAATGTATTATTTTTGGTTGGCAAGTGGTTAAAGTGGTTGTAAAGGCAGAAGGTTTTTGACCTTACTACATTCTATGCAGCAAGGTAAAAACCTTCTGCATGCAGCTTCCCCCGCAACCCCCCCTAAATACATGTCTCAGCCCGATCTCGGTCCAGCGCTGTGCACAGGAGCCAAGGCTGCCTTGGCTTTCTTGCTCCTCATTGTTGTCTTAATCAATTGGAGGATGATGAGTGTATTTGTAAATGTATTTTCCCGCAGCAACAAGTTCAATGGTTCTTTTCCAGAGAGAGAGATGCTTTTATCCAGATAAGGATACTTGCAACAGATGACAAAAATCCAGCAGAATTCTTGTAAATATTACAATGAACAACAGCCCTCAGAGTCCCATTTAAGATACTTCATATCAAACACGGAGATACTATACCGTCCAACATACATCCGATCTATAATATGCACCTAGGTAGCTTCCATGCATGCAACAAGGAGAGTTATGATCTATACCTGTGCTTCCATATTAATGAAAGAAAGAAGCTCTACTGCCAGCCAAAAACTCCCCTTCTTATATAGTTTACTACCAGAAAGCAAAGCTGGAGGGTTTCTGATTGACAAAACACTTTTGATCTTAACATGAAAAGACTTCACTTACCATTACTGTAAATAACAATTAAGGTCACTTTAGTGTTTACCAGATAAACAAGTCACCTTTCACCATTTCTCATGAATACCCCCTTGAGTCTAATTACCATCAATAAATACTTCTTGTATGATAAAATCACATTCTTTATCATCCTGAAGCATGTAAACAATGTACCCTTTGAAATATCTAATTAGATAAACAGGCTATTCCCAAACACCAAGGTGACCTTGCAAAAAATGAACAGAGCAAAGAGTTCTTTTGATACGTAAAGTGGTTTTGTCACTGGCTTGTCCAAGAATGAACAGTGTGCTCTTGTTCTCCTTTGCAATTCGTTTCACAGGTAAACTTATTGTGTTTCAATATCTATCTATCTATCTATCTATATATATATATATATATATATATATATATATATATATATATATAACACACAATATACTACACTCATTAGCTCAGACACAGCAGCAGGAACCATTGGCTCTCCTCGATGTCAATCAGAGCCAGTAATGAGCAGCAGGGGGTGGGGCTGAACCCCATTCTGTCTGCCTTATGGACACACAGAGCAGGGCTCGGGAGCAAGCATGCATGAGAACCCCCAAAACAAGTGGCTTGATCTGGGGGCACTCGGGGTCAGGGGCGGACTGACCATTCGAACACTCGGGCACTGCCCGAGGGCCCAGGGTCAGTAGGGGACCCCATGAAATGCCCCTGTTACCTTTTTTAAGTGTGCTTTGAGTGTGGGCAAGGACACAGGGGCCTCATGATCCCCTATTGCCCAGGGGCCCCATGAGTTGTCAGTCCGCCCCTGCTCGGGGCTGTGGAGCCCGGAGCGCTGACAAGGGACCCCAAAAGAGGAATATCGGGGTCACTCTGTGCAAAACCACTGAACAGGTAAGTATAACATGTTTGATATTTTAAGGAAAAAAAAGAACCTTTAAAACGAGAAGTATGGGGTATTTTTTTGTTTTTTAAGTCATACTAGGAAGATGCAGAATCGATTCAAGAACTGATTGATCAGACAGCGCTGATCGCTCCGTTTTCCTCTCCTCTCTGAGCAGAGAACAGTGACTGTCAGCTGCCTGCTGTGCCCCCTCCGAAACTCACTGGAGTGCTGGGCTGTCTAGGGGACTGGAGTGGGACTGGCTGGCTCAGGCTGTTAGTAGCTTGCTGAGAGGCTGAGCTAGGTGCCTGTCAGGGCTCCTGGGTGAATCCCGACCATATGGTTGCAGTCTTTTCCCAGCCTGGGCCGGCTCTGTGACATCAGTTGACAGTGGGCTTTAGCCCGCTGACAGCTGAAAATGGGTTGAAGGAGTGCAGAATGAACTGCACTCCTGTGATCCACAGAAGTACACAAAGAGCTTTGGCTGTACTTCTCCTTTAATATCACT